CCACATAGGCCTGCTTTCTTTTATTATTTCAGAATGTTACAGGCATACAAATGTTTTGGTTACGTGATTGCTCTTGCACTGGGTAAGTGAGGGTTGTAACATGCCCATCACCCAGGTAGTGTGCGCTGTTTCTGTCAGGATTGATTTCAGACCCCTTACCCCCACCTGCTCGATTTCCATTGAGTTCTACTGCCATCTATGTGCATGAGTGCTGATCGGTTAGTTCCAATTGAACAAGGGCTACATGTGAGTTTACTTTTTTCTTTTTGAAAATTAAATTAGTTCATACAAAGAAAACACTTAGGACAATCGTTGACATGTAGTAAATAGTCACCTTGTCTGTCCTTTACAGAGCGGCAATGAGTGGTTGACCTTTGTGGTTAGTTATGGATGAAAGTGTGTGGACAGTCTTGTTGGAGTCTTTGTTGACTTCAGCTCCTACTCCTGTAAGTCTGGCTGTGGTCCAGCTACCCTCATTAGTACTGCACAGAGTGAGCCTGTGCTGTGTGCTTTAAGGTAGGTACAGTGCTCCTCATCCTGTGCTGTGTACTTTAAGGTAGGTACAGTGCTCTGCCTGCTCTCTCTTTCTCTCTCTCTCTCTCTTTTTTTTTTTTCTTCAGTTCCTTTCACATTTCCTATTGGGGGATAGTTTTAAGTTCTTTTTCTGAGGGTCCTCCGATGAGTGTGTTTGAGGTGTCTCTTACGTGTGTGAAGATTAGGAGATTTTCTCTCTTATACTAGATGTCCTGCTAGTAATGCAACCCAAAGTTACATCGACTGTTTTGTCTCTACATTAGACAGTTAAATCATGCTGAATTTGTTATTAACCTAAGCCCACCAATCCACCCCCTGCATTTGCTAGTTTTGTAAAAATTTATTCTTTTGCTTATTCAGTTATTGACTGCTCAACATATTACCATATGCCAGCTTTGTAATTGGCATTAGGTGGACTCCTCAAGGAAGTAAGAGTTTCCTAGGGTGGCAGGTGCAAACAGACTTATAACAAGGTGTGATTGTGGTAACTGTTGTAATAGAAATGTGCAAAGGGTGTAAAAATGGATGAAGGAAGGACTCCTGCTCTTCCTTGTGGGGACAGGTCTGAGAATGTGACCAGGAGGATGACAGGGCCGGGGAGAGGACGCCCAGACATGCACATGGAGGAAAGACTGTCATAACCTGTGAGAGCCCAGCCACCAAGAGGACCTTTGAACAGAGGGAGTAACTTGTGGCATGAAATAGTGTGGTATTCTGGGAACCACACATGGCTGGATGTGGTGGCTGCAGAGAGAGCCCTGGAGGAATTGGTGGGGAAGATGCTGACCAGGGAGGCAGGTGTTGGGTCCTGCTGGGCTCTGCATATCATAGTAGGAAATTCATATTTAAATCTATAGCTAGCGAGCTAACCAGAAGGGATTTTATATTAGAGATGGTCATGTTTAGATAGATGTCTGTTTAAAACATAATCTGCCTAGTATGACCTGTGAATTAGAGTAGGCCAGAAGAGAGGTAAGGGAGTGAATGGAGAGACTGCATGTCTCACAAGTGAGAAAAACGCGTGAAATCATGACCAGAGAGGTTTATTAAGTAGATATATTCTGAGCATTTAGTCACCTTGAGTGGCGAGAGCCTCAGAGATTACTGACCAGCTGGACGTGGTGGGGAAAGGGAAGGGCTGAGTGAGGCTCAGGCCCAGGTCTGAGGGGTAGATGGTGATGTCATTCACAGGATAGGAGACAAAGAGTTAATGGGGAGACATGAAGTGGTCCCCTGGGGACCCAGTACCTTTTGGATACCCGTGGGACATTCAAGTGGAAAGATGTAGCAGACATTCGGCTCATGTGTCAAGAACTCAGGAAAGAGTGTGTGTGTGCATATGAGTGCATGTGTGTGTGTACACGTGTGTGTGCTGTATGTGAGTGCATGTGTACATGTGTGCACACATGTGTGTGCTGTATGTGAGTGCATGTGTACATGTGTGCACACGTGTGTTTATGCGTGTGTGCCGTATGAGTGCCATGTGCGTGTACGTGTGTGCATGTGAGTGCACGTGTGAGTGTGTGCACATGTGTGAGTGCACGTGTGTGTACATGTTTGTGAATGTGCACGTTACTGAATGTGTGCGTGTATGTGTGTTTGTGCATGTGTGTGCGTATGTAAGTGTACGTGTGCACATATGTGTGCATGTGTGCATGCATGTGTGCATGTGAGTGCACGTGTGCGTGTATGTGTGTGAACATGTGTTTGTGCGTGTATGTGCGTGTGTGCATATGTGAGTGCATATGTGTGTGCACATGTGAGTGCATGCATGTGTGTTTGTGTGTGTGTGCATGCATGTGTGTGTATGTGAGTGCATGTGCGTATGTGTGTGTGCATGCGTGTGTGTGCACGCATGTGTTGAGACCTGGACCTGCAACTCATTCATATGTAGAAGACAATTGAGACCCAGGTGTGTAGTGTATCAATTAGAAGAGAGCTGAGGGAAATCACGATGACAATTGATCCTAACCTGACACAGAGTCATGGAAAGGGGTAGCCTTAGAAAATGATTTTGGGAGAGACATCACAGTTGCCTGAAAACCGGGAGAAAATGCTGTCATTGGACCCATGGCAGAGAGAGTTGACAATGCTTACAAAATAAATGTGCATATATATGTGTATATATATTGCACTAATCTTTTATTACTTTCTAAGCTCCCAAAATATTTTGTAATATTTATGTAGTGTTGGATTACTTCTAAATTTTAGAAAATGCGCTTGTGAATCAGTGGAGTCCTGAGCAGGTGGCTGTCAGGAGGGGCACCCCCTTTACCCCCTTCTGGAGCATTGTACCTGCTACAGGTCAGGGGCAGGAGTCCTCCCACTGTTGGGGCTAATTCTAGCAGGCCCTGGTTCTTTAGATTCTAGTTTGGCTTTGTGGCTGTTTTTTATATAGTTGATACGGGATGGAGATTTCCTCTCTGTTTTTTCCTTCTCTTTGTTTTTGGAGAAAAGAATTCAAGTTGTAATGACTTCCCCATGTAAGATTTAAAAAGAAGTCCCACAGTTCCTCTAAAATTGTGAGCTAACTAGAAAACGCTATCTGTAGCAGCATTGTTTTTATTTTTAAATTGAACTCTGAGTTTTTCATGCATTTCGATTATAGGTTTCTTCAGAGCAGAGGAAGGCGTATTTATCTTTATGTCCCTGGGGCTCGACACAGAGGCGGTTAGAGAAGTGCTCAGTAAATGCTCCTATCGTCTGTCTTGTTCACCGTTACACAGTTCCCTCGCTCAAGAGCTTCTAAACTCTCCTGAACCTTCCTACCTTTCACATCTCCTGTCACTGTATGATGCCAAGTTGTCTCCTGCCTTTTATTAATTCTACTCTATAACTGCTTTGAGTTCTGTATCTTTTTTTCCCTCCAAGTGTTCCAATGAAATTTATTTTTAGACTGTAAATAAGCCCCAATATTTGAGACTTGCCATTGAAACAGAGGAGGCCCAAGGACACTGAAGTTGGGAAAACTGCAGAAACGCTTAGCTGCCCTCTCGCTTCTTCAGGGTCTCTGGTTTCTATTTCTCTTTACTCCTCCCCCACTTTTAAATTTTTAATATGAAAAATTTCTAACATATACCACATCTAGAGTACAACATAACAAACCAAGTGAATATCTGAACTTTTCCACATTAATTCTCAAGAACTTTACAGTAGGGTTTGCTGGCAGGTGTCTGTAGTCCCAGCTACTCAGGATGCTGAGGTAGGACGGTCACTTGAGCCCAGGAGTTCAAGGCTACAGTCAGCTATGATTGTGCCACTGCCTGCCAGCCTGCGTGACAGACAAAAATAATAAAATAAAAGAACTTTAGCATGCTATAATGAGAGACCTATTAATGTCACACCTGTTCTACAGCAGCCAGTTACTCCATGTTGCTCAAAAGTAGACTCAGAGTAAGTTAGGTTAGATTCTTTGTTTAATTTCTTGGAGACAGAATTAGCAGGGAGGAAGTTATGGACTTGATTTGACTTACAGGTGATGATCAGATGATAAACGTCCCTGATCACCGCTCTGTCCTCTCTCTGTCCCTATTTCGGGATCCACATCAGGTGTACACATTTTCTGCCTCCCCAGGAGGCCTGTGACTGTGCTTCCAAAAAAGTAGCTGTTGGACCATCTTTGACTTAAGCAAGCTTTTGCTATGCTCTCATTTGGATAATGCTTTATCTGCTTATTTATTTTAAGCTTCTCAACAAGATATGAATTTTCTGTCTGTGTTTTCTTTTGGTACTCTTTTCTGTGACTATTGCCAGAGGATAATAGGACTGAGAAGGGTCTGTAGCCATTCCAGGTTCAGCTCTGAGAAGGAAATCCGTGCTTACAGCGGCCGTGGCAGGAGGTGGTGGGACCCATAGTGCCATTTGCTCCTTCTCCCCACATGCACAGAAGTCTTTCCCATTTGCTTCCCTGTAAGGTTGGGGTTCCTTTCTCAGAAGTTTCGCTATTTGTAGTTATCGTAAAGTAAGAAATAAAAAGAAACCTTTTAGAGTAGCAGAAAAGTTTTATAGGAAAAAGGTAAGGTCTGTGTTTATCAACCCGATTTCACACTCTGTGTCTATTGCATTTGTGCGATTGCTGCCTTTGGTTAATCAGTTTTTCTCTGTGCCATTTATATAGCACTTATGAAAATAAATCAGGTATTTCTCAGCTAATAAAAATAATAGTATTTTGTATCATTAATAATTCACAGATGTCTTCTGTCTGAGTGGGAAGCAATATGCACTTTTTAAACAAACAGTTTATCATCTTGGGTTTCTTTGTTTACCTGAAGTCAGGGCTACACTCTGTGTGTGCCCTTGGTCTGTAACTGCACGATCAAGTTCATACAAGTTCAAGTCAGGGCTACACTCTGTGTGTGCCCTTGGTCTGTAACTGCACGATCAAGTTCATACAGGTGAGCCGTTGTGTTGGTTTCCCAGCTTTTTCTTTTCTGAAAGTGCTGTGTCCTTTCTTTTCTCTTCTTCAGGGAATCAGCAGTCTCTTCAGTTCTTTAAAAGTGGTGCGGCTCTTGCGACTCGGCCGTGTTGCTAGGAAGCTGGACCATTACCTGGAGTATGGCGCGGCCGTCCTCGTCCTCCTGGTGTGTGTGTTCGGGCTGGTCGCCCACTGGCTGGCCTGCATCTGGTACAGCATTGGAGACTATGAGGTCATCGACGAGGTCACCAACACCATCCAGATAGACAGTTGGCTCTACCAGCTGGCCTTGAGCATTGGGACTCCATACCGATACAACACCAGTGCCGGGATATGGGAAGGAGGGCCCAGCAAGGACTCCCTGTACGTGTCCTCGCTCTACTTTACCATGACAAGCCTTACAACCATAGGATTTGGAAACATAGCTCCTACCACCGATGTGGAGAAGATGTTTTCTGTGGCCATGATGATGGTTGGCTGTAAGTATCTTGATTTTTTTTTTTTTCATTTAAAAAACATTATTTCTGGTGAGCCATTGTCCTGGCTCCAAATATATGACAGGATTAAAAGGAACCACTCGGTTCATGTAATCCATACTGTTTGCAATTGGTTTAACTTTTATTCAGCCTTAGAACATAAAAATGTGAAACAATATATATTACACTTCAGAACATCATAACATGCAAAAAATGGATAGAGTGACACAAAAATGAAATGGGACTGTGTGATTTAGTTCTCTCAGTAGCGGTGTACCTGGCAGAGCTCTCCAGAAGACCCCAGGGCAGGTGACACTGGGCACGTTCCATTGGTATCATCAGTAATGTGTTAATTTCCAAACAAGCAGACAGGATCTGATGTCAGATATCATACAGTTTATACAATATTTTAGTTAATAATTTCTGAATTAAAGTTGACCTCAGGATACAGTTTAATATAGGTTTTTATGATTAAGACTAGTAAAAAGGGTTTATAAATCTCGTCTCTATTATGATAATTCCAGGTTCGACTATTTGACGGGATGAAAGGATTAGTGGACATAAGCTCATTCAGCAAAGAGGGGTGTGTAGGACATGGTGCACAGCCCTGTCTACCAAGAGCCCTGCATGTGTTCTTGGAGTAGAACGCCCTCTCCAGGGCCCAGAGACCCTGTGCTGTCCACTCAGGCAGGCAAGGTGACACCGGAGGACCAGAACGTTGAGGAAATGTGAATCAGTGACGCTCACCACCGTCCACACCTTCAAGTTGACTTAAATAATTTATCCAAGTGTAGTTCCAATGCCTAAGGCAACCTTGAGATTGTTTTACTGACAAAGCTATTTGTGTTATTAGCAAAAATTCCAGTGCTGTCTGCTCCAGTGGCTTTGAGGAGGAAGTGTTCTTATACATAGAGATGGTTAAGTAAACCAGCGGTTCTTAACTTGTGGGTTGCCACCCACAAGAACTGTATTAAAGGATTGCGGCATTAGGAAGGTTGAGAACCACTGAATTAAACTGATATCTGTGTGCCAAGAGTGGTTAGATATGTGGGCAGACATGTGCCTTATAAATGCAGAAGACAGCATTCTGTCAGATGTGGTATATGGTAATATATTACTTTTAATATTTATATAGTGCATTTTGCCTGACAGATGTGCATAGTTGGATTCTTTTTTAAGAGATGGGGGTCTCAACATGTTGTCCAGGCTGGAGGGCAGGGGTTACTCACAGGCATCATCTTAGCCCTTCAACTTGGAGCTCCTGGCCTCACAGGATCCTACTGCCTTAGGCTCCTTAGAAGCTGAAAATGCAGTTATGTGCCACTGTGCCTGCTTGAGATTGCTAGAAAACTTTGTATTTTGAACTAATTTTAGTTTGATAGAAGTTGTGAAGATGGTACAGCGAGGGCCTCTGTTGTTCCCTCGCCTGGTTTCCTCTGGTAATCACATCTTACGTAAGTACAGCACAATATCAGAATCGACCTTGGTACAATGTATGTGTGTAGTTTGATGTTGTTTTATCACATGTGTGGATTCCACTGCAGTCAAGGTGCAGAACTGTCCCATTATATGTAATCTACCCCTTCCTCCAGCTGTCTCTACCCTGAAAATTACTCATCTCTTCTTTATCTCTATAATGTTGTGACCTGAGAACATTGTGTGAGTGGAATCCTAGAATGTGACCCTTTGAAATTGGCTTTTACTACCCAGCGATCTATCCCTCTTCATTGCTGAGGAGCATCACAGGGTTGGACATGCGGCTATTAACTGTTCATCCACTGAAGGGCACTTGGGCTGTGTCCAGTTTGAGGCTGTTACAAATACAGCTGATGTGAAGATTCGTGCATTGTTTTTTGTATGGACATAAGTCCTTGATGTTTCGGGATAAATGCTCAGGAGTGCAATTACTGGGACATATGGTTAAGGATATGTTCAGTTTTTAAAGAAATTGCTGAACTATTTGCCAAGTAGGGAGACTGTATTTTTCACTGGAGAATCATAGGAGGATAGAATTCAGGTAGAGTTGAAGGCACCGTTGCTCCTTTGTTTGTCAGGCTCCAAGGCTGGGGATCATCCCGGATTGCTCTGTTTCCCTCATGTCTTCATCCATTCATATGAAAGGGCTGCTGGGTTAACTTACATAATACACTTGATTATTTCTCTTTATTTCCATAGGTTACTAGCCCAAACCAGCATCTAAAGCTTGACCTTTGGAATTGACCTCCTGTATGTTCCTTCTGTTTTCATTATTGCCCCACTATCTCTACCCAGAAGCCAGAGTGGCCCCTTTAACATGAATCCGACCACACTATTCCTTTCCTCCAATCCCTCCAGGATGTACAAAGTCCAGACTCTCTGCCCCATGTTTCAAGGCCTTACTTGTCTCACCTGGGCCTGCTTCACTTACTCAGTGCTTACCATTCTGCCTGTGCCCGTTCTGAATCCAGGCCGGCCACCTCACTGTCTCATAGTATCAAGCTCACGCTGGTCTCTGGGACGTTGTACTTGCTTGCCTTCTATTTGTAACCTCCCCTCCTGACTCACCCTGCAAGTTTCCACTGAATCCCCCGCACAGAAATTCCTTCCAACCCTTCCCTATTACAAGAAGCCACCCAGTCCCAGTCGCCCATAATCCCTGCCCTCTATCTTTGATCTTCATAATATCTACCCAGATCAGAAACCACGTTCGCTCTGTTATTCTCCACTGCAGGATGTGAACTCCAGGAGAGCAGGGCCTTTTTCTGCTCCATATCCCTAACTCCTAAATAATTCTTAACAATTCCATGCTCAATCTCAAGATTTTTTGTGAACAAATGAATTTATGATGTCCCTGCTGGTCATGCTGGTGATCTGTTTTCCTTCAGCGCGGCCTCGGTAGGTCTGGGATGAAGATACGTGCCAAGGAAAGCTCAGTGGTAGCGTCTGGCCTGACTCCGTAGTGAGAAGGCTGGCGGGCGGTGTTGTCTTCCTCTGTGGACCTGGGAGCCGCTGTGGGTGGATGGCTAAGTGCTGCGTCTCCCCCCAGGGCCGTTTATGGAAGTTCAGAGCAGCCAGTCCAGGGAAGCTCCAGCAGCCCTTTATCCACCACTGCGACCTTCCACATCTCCCTTTGTGTTGTACGTTTTTATATATATTCAGTTGAGTTTTCTAAGCTTCATTTGGTTCAGAGTTGGGCTGTTCCTTCTCTAACTCTACCTCCTGAATGACCAGTTACACTCACCAGATCCAAATTCCGTTCTCCTTTCTACTTTTCCTTTCTGGAGTCCTGTTTGGATTTCAGGTGAAGACCTCATTTTGAAGCAGGTTCTTTTCTCCCCCCGAGTCCCTGTCTCTTTTCTCCTGAGCAGGCATTTATGTACCAATTCCTGACATCTTCTTGCCTTTTGAGTTAGGTTTTCTTTTTACACCTATGAAGAAGTCTAATTTTAACAGCCAGCGTGTTTCAGGGAGATGCCTTTTAATTTCCTTCTTAGTCTGTGATTCCTTGGCAATAGTATGGGATATTTCCTTTGAAACAACTTAGAAGATTGTGAAAAACTGTCTAGACTCATGAAGTATTATGGTAACTTGGCAAAATTCTAACATTTATTAGATACAGAAGCAAAAAATATAAATCAAATATGGATATTGTAGCTGTTTTTAATTTTAATATCATTTTCTTTCCTATAATAACACCAAAGACAAGTGAAAATAAACCAACAGTATTCCTAGAGACTATGTGCTGTTGGCCATAGCCAGGGGTTAAGTGGTGCGTGTGTGTGCGTGTGTGTGTGTGTGTGTGTGTGTGAAGGGGGGAGAGGAGAAAAAGGGGCTAGAGAACAGAAAGCTTCATGCTTTCACTTGTGCTAGAATTGTGATCAGTCTGTGCCCGTTGCCTGGGAAGCACCACTTGTAACCTTATCACTAAGAAAGACGTTGTTTTGTTTTGAGCCAGGTTCTTTGTTGCTCTGGGCTCAAGTGGCATGGTGTCATGATAGCTCACAGCAACCTCAAACTCTTGGGCTCAAGTGATCCCTCTGCCTTAGCCTCCCAAGTAGCTAGGAAAGTAGGTGTGTGCCACTGTGCCCAGCTACTTTTTCTATTTTTTTTGTAGAGATAGGGTCTCACTTGTGCCCAGGTTGCTGTCAAACTCCTGACTTCAAGCAGTCCTCCTACCTCTGCTTCCCAAAGTGTTAGGATTATAGGTGTGAGCTGCTGCCCACAGCTAGAGAAATGTTTTCTCAAAGGGTTGGCCAGGCGTGGTAGCTCATGCCTGTAACTCAGCACTTTTAGGGGCTCAAGTAGGAGGATCCCTTGAGGCCAGGAGTTTGAGACTAGTGTGGGCAACTTAGTGAGATCCCATCTTTTATAGCAATAAAATTAGCCAGAGGTGGTGGTGTGTGCTTGTAGTCTCAGCTACTCTACAGGCTGAGATGGGAGGATTGTTTGAGCCCAGGGGTTCAAGTTTGCAGTGAGCTGTGTCTGTGCCACTTCACTTCAGTGTGGATAACAGAACAAGATCCTGTTTCTAAAAAAAATTAAAAACGAAAACAAACAAGAAAGATTGAAGAACACACTAGCTGCCTATATTTTGTTGAGACAGATAATCACTACTTTTAAATGATAGCCTTTTTTTTTTTTTTTCTGGAGAGTCATCTGAAATTTTTATGCCTCCCAGCAAAATTTAGAAATTTCAGTGGCAGTAACCTCAGGTCCTAGGTCCTCTGTGGGCCCGCTTTTTAAAGAGTTACCTCAGTCCTTGGCTCTTGGTACCCTATGCTAAATTGCATATGGGTAGTCTCAAGGTTGTCCTGGTTGGTGTCAGTCAAATATTTTAAAAAGTTTATGACTGTGGCCGTTCCCGGGTCCCTTGAGGTTCCCTTCAGATCTCTCCCATCTTACAGAATCCCAGGGTATTCTCCTTACCTACTACCTAGGAATTTCTTAGACTTAAATCCTTTGCTCATATCTTTGCCCTGTTTGGAAAACCTTCCTGCTCAGATTTCTGAACTGGCGGCCCTGCT